TATATATATATATGTATATATATATATATATATATATAATATGTTTGTGTGTGTGTTTGTATATATTAACATATATAGGTCTATATATACACGCATACTCAATGTAGCACCCTGTTTATAATTGTCTAATCTAGACCCATGATTGTTAGGCTTTAAATATTTTGAAGATTTCAAATTTAAATGCGATTATATTTTAAATGAAAATTTTAAAAATGTGATTTGAAATTGTATTTGTAGGTATTTCTGCCATTATTTTCGGACAATGCTCTCTTTATTTTTTTGTCTTCAATGAATTCTCTGTTTAATCGTCCTTCATAATTTTTGAAAATTGTTTTCTATAGTTTCCTTTTTCAGTAATTCATCCTATTTTGTCTTTATCAACCAGAAGAAAAATATATGTTGAACTGTATGCAATAAATATAATAATAATAATAATAATAATAATAATAATAAATAAATAATAGGGTAATAATAATTAAGTTAATAAGTTAATAATAATAAGCTAAATATAGGTAATAATAATATCATAGGTAATAAATAGTGCATTGGCTTCAAGGAATTCTCAGTTTAATCGTCTTTTATCATTTTAAAAAATTGTTTTCTACAGTATCCTTTTTTAAAAATTCATCCTATTTTGTCTTTCACATAAAGTTGAATATCAAGCAGAAGAACAATAATGTTGAACTGTATGCAATAAATATAATAATAATAATAATAATAATAATAATAATAATAATAATAATAATAATAATAATAATAATAATAATTAATAATAATAGGGTAATAATAATTAAGTTAATAATAATAAGCTAAATATAGGTAATAATAATATCATAGGTAATAAATAGTGCCCTATAATAATCTATCAGTGCGATATTAGACACTTGTATTAATTAATTAATAAGAAAAGATTTTTTAGGTTGGTCCTTAAAAAACGTCAAGAACTATCCTCCTTAACACATATTGAGAGCTGGTTCCATAATGGTCCCAGGCCAGAAAGAAGATCGATATCCATATTTTGCTAGTATGATGTTTCCTTAATACTAATATTGTGCACCAATGAAGATATTGTTTATAATGATTTCATTGTGAAAGTAATGTTATACACATTAGACAATCGTCTTTCTCAATGATAAACAATATACAGCACTATGCAGTAAGTAAGTAATTAAGTAACTTCATTGCTTCTCTTTTATAACAGAGCACAGACGTAAAGACGTGCAACAATAACAAAATCAGTAAAAACTTAATTACTGTGATAAAATATAGTAAGAAAATACTGCGGTAGAATGGAATATAAATAAAAAAAGGGTTTACAAAAATAGTAATAGAGATAAAAATAAATACTAATACTAATAATATAAGTAAGTTGGTTAATACATACACTTATACACACATACATATACACATACACACAAACATATATATACACATATATATATACATATATACATATATATATATATATATACTGTATACATATACATATATATAAATATATACACACACACACATACACACATACACGCACAATACATACATGCATAGACACACACACATACACACACACACGCGCGCCCCTCCCACGGCTGAGGCTATCGGCACTGCCGCAGTGCGAAAAAAAGCTGCTGTTTTCTATCGGCACTGCCGCAGTGCCAAAAAGCTGCTGTTTTCTATCGGCACTGCCGCAGTGCCAAAAAAGCTGCTGTTTTCTATCGGCACTGCCACTCGAAAAGCTGCTGTTTAATATCAAATGGATGTTTTTATCTATAGATTATGGTATCAATAATTGGTTAGGTCTAGCATAGCCTATAATATTGTTAACATTATATTATATATGTTTTATAATTAAATTATAATTATTTCTAATTATTAAATATATACATAGCCTATATCTAGGCCCATACATAAAACAAAAAATAAAACAACAAAAATTTAAAAATAAAATACAGTAGTAGTAATAATAGTAATAATAATAATATAATAATAACAGTGCTCGAAATGAATAAAAAATGTTTAATTAATGAGATGAATCAGCATATATTAAATCAACTTGCGTCTATGCAAAACCTGTTTTTTTTTTTTAAATAAAGTTATCTGTTTTATTCTGCTGTTTTAAAAAATAATCTTATAACTTATAAGTTTATTTTATATGATAATTTTATCCACATAATTCATGTTTTCAATGTTAGTATGGTTGATAAATAATACATAAAATAATAATAATAATAATAATAATAATAATAATGAAGTTGCTCGAATAATGCTTTAATAAAGAAATAATAATACTTCAATAATACTTCAATAGGTCTATTTGCGATAGTGTGATTAATGAGATATTTGTTGATTAATTTTTAGAAATATATAATAGGTATAGGCCTATACCATTAATAATGATTCAGCATGTTAAATCAACTTACGTCTATAGATGTAAAATCTGGTTTTTTTTCTCAATAAAATGTTACCTATTTTATTCTGTTTAAAAAATAATTTTATAAAATACCGTACATTATAAAGTTTCATTGTAAATTATATGAGAATTTAATCCACATAATTTATGTTTTCAATTATTTAAGCATTTAAACAATTCAGTGAGCCTAACGCTGGATGTAAATGTAAAACAAAACAAAAACAAAAGCATCACAAGTGTTTCATGTATGCAAATGCTAATACTATCGCGCGATTACCGCGTATTTTTTGGTAAGCATATATCTCAGGATGGTTCACACGAACTGACGAATCCGTCGAAATGTCGTATAAATGAACTGCAATTATGTAAATAACTTTCACAAGAACTTTACGAATATCTTAATTAACATAATCTTAATTAATATTTTAAATTAGTCAATTACTAATTAATTAAAAGATTGATATAAACATTGTGACCTTATAACTACAATTTA